GTAAATACAACATATATATATATATATATATATATATATATGATGATGATTTTTAAATCACATTGATTGCAGATAGGGAATTGGTCTAGATGGCTCACTGACCTTGTTGGGAACTCACTACACGATGAAAATAGAGCAGATAATGATGATGATGGGAGTGAAGAATATGATACATCTTCCAAATCTTTCTATCTCCTCGACGCACTGAGTGATCTTATGATGCTTCCAAAGGATATGCTGTTAAGTAGGACAATAAGAAAAGAGGTTTGTCCTCAAAACCTTGAAAGCATCATGATTTTTGCAGCCCGAGTGCTTGTATTTTTCTTTCCCCTTATTTGTGCTCTCTACAGGTCTGTCCCACATTTGGTCCAATTATAATAAGAAGGGTTCTTAATGTTTTTGTCGCGGATGAGTTTTGCCCTGATCCAATACCTGAATGTGTACTTGAAGCTCTTAACACAGAGGTAAGCTCATCTCTTTGACTTTGTTCATTTTGTCATGCTAGAACCAAGTCTTTGTAAATCAGATTCTGCTTATGATATTTTTCTCATTAGGATCCTTTTGACGCGGAAGAAGATTCAGTCATGAGCTACCCCTGCACAGCAGCTCCTATAGCATATAAGCCACCTTCAACAGCTTCAGTGGATAGTCTATTAGGTGACATTAGTAGCCATTCTAAGCTGAGACGGATCGGATCTTCAGTGCTCAAGAAGTCATACACAAGCGATGATGAGCTCGATCAAATGGATATGAACTTCATCATTTCTGAGGGCATTGAAACTTCACCACTTGCAAAATCCAGTAGGATATTGAAAGGTAATGTTGATGGAAATGCTGTGAGGTATCAACTCCTTAGGGAGGTATGGATAAAGAGTGAATTATGATTTTGATCTGTAGTAATTATCTTTATAAAGTAAAAAGAATGTTTGCCTTCTTTTTACTTCTGTTAATAAATATTTGCAGCTAACGCAACTGCTGTATTCCTTCTCATTTTCTACCTTAAAACTAGAATATATCTTACGTATGAACAAGCTCAAAAATCTTCTGTCCGTTAGGAAGGAAATATTTATATTCTAGACTAAAAAATTCTTGAGGACCTGTTTATTATTCAAGGATTCCAAGTAACTTTTTTTTTAACTTAAACCCGAATTTTTTTATAAACAATTTAATCATCTTTTGGTTCAATTTTTAACACCTGTTTACTTTATAAAGTTGCATGTTAGTTTTCTTAATCTAGTTTTCAAATACATGAACTCAACTTTTAGAAACAAATTAATCATCTTTTGGTTCAATTTCTGGTATTACTGAAGTTGGATTTTGATAAGAGCAGTGTCACAGTCAGATGGCAAGAAATTTTTATTTTTGTTAAGAGTTGGCATGTCTAACTCAAATTATCAACATCAGGATGATACAATAAGTACGATTGAAGCGCAATGTGTGCAGCTTTTTACAGCTCCATTAATAGAAAAAATAGCCAAACTTTGCAGAACATGACACAATCAAGATTCATTTGGGTGCCACAGCACGAGCTAATAAACGTAGCATTTCCATGGGGTTGAAGTATTACACACAACACAAGCATTCACCAAAAATAAGCTTTGTAGAAATCTATATAGAGAGAGTATTATAAGCTTGTCTGATGCTCACATCTTGATGTTTCTCTCTTCTGGCAGATAAAACTAGGTTGAACTCTTTTAAACAAAAAAGAAAACAAAATTATGCATATTCCCGCCCAAAACTTAAACTTTGTTCACTCATATTTCCTATACCTACTATGCTCCCAAAAAGAATGAAGATCAGCAGAAAATCAAATTAGCATCCTGCACTCAACTGTGTAGAACCAACTGCAGTCCTGTGCTGAAGATGCAAAGCAGCCAAAAGGCCTTGCCATGTTTCTCCAGGTCCTCCAGCCACTTGAAAATCAAGGAGCTTTCTCTGTTTCCTGTAGTATTCTTCTAGCGGTTTGATCTACATAAAACAGAATGATGTTGCGTATTAGTTGATTTTGTAGTTCAACCGAGAAAATACTGAGTTATGACTCTGTACAACCACATTTAGAATGCTGACTAGCAAGAACATGAGAGCTGAGGAAATTTTGAACCAAGATCATGCAATTAGTTTTATAGCTCTAATATATAAAAGAAAATCAAACTGTGTATTTAAAAAAGTTGATCACATGCACTGCCACCTCCAGGGTACTGACATAATTATAGCTGAGTAGGATAGATGCAAAATCATCTTTGAGACATTAACTTGTTTAAGATATCGGCATGAACAAAGTAAAAGCACATGAAGAAGATCAGGTAAGAGCCAACAGATGCCAGAGCTCAAGAACAATATGGCATTGCCATTTAAACAATTTCAGCATGGTTTGTTCAACGAACAATCAGGTACTCAGTATACTGGCAGATGATGTACATGCATATTTGCATCTGTGTGATTCAACAGGAAATAGTATTTACTTGCACATCAAGAATGCTAAGAAAGGCAATCTCTAATCCTATTCATCAAGAATACTAAGAGAGGCAACCTACAATTCTGTTCATCTCAAATTATGACGTCAAAATTTTTCTAGTGTTTCCATCTGTAAAATTTCAGGAAATCGGATGGGTACCTGCTCAGCATGCACATGCAGCTTCTTTCTCGAAACATCAGTCATGGTACTTGAAGGCCTAAAATGACCACCCTCTGACTGAAGACTCATATTAATTCCAGAAGTCCTGCGAAGGAATTCCAGAGGTGAATAAAGCCCAGTACTTTTGTCTTTCTTTGACATCCCACTCTCAGCACATTTAAGATTCAGAACTAGATCTATGTCCACAGTTTTGTCCAGGGTTTCCTGCAGGAATAAATGAGAAGAGTATGTAAATCCAACATGTTTCGACATGAATCATAAAAAATAACATAAAATAACAGTCCTTTTCAAACAAAATCTGAGAGAAGTAAAAATAAACACTTCATACACTTGTTTATTATTAGACAATGCAGATTACTACAAAGTGAATAATCTTGGCCAAACACTATCTATCTCAAGATAAAGAAACAGCATTCAGAAAGTAGCAAACACCAATCTTTTACGGACTCTTCTCATCAATTACTCCCTCCATACCTTTTACATGTAAATTTGCTATTTTGTTAGCTAAAAGACCAACTAAATGCTGAAACTAATATACCAGTTAATTCAAAATCTCAAAACAAAACTTGAACTGAAATGACTATAAGAATTATATCTAAGGTACTGGTTAGATTTTCAAAATGTTTATTTATTTACTAAGTAATTAACACCACCATGAACAAAGCTACAAAGTTCGATCAATATGTTCAGTATGGACTTTAACTTCTGGAAGCTTGTGCATCCCAAGAAACTCAACTGTTCAATGAAACTAGTGTAAATGAAATGGAAAGATCGAAGATAACGAGAAAAAGAAGATGCCACTAAAATTAAGTCCACACAGAGAGGGAGGCTATACTTACAGCTTGAATCTTTGATCGAGGAATTCCATCCAAGATGAATCCACTTTCACCCCTGCAATAACCTTCTTCTAGCCTCTTTGACAACAGACCAAATATAACATCTTCGGGAACAAGTTTTCCCTGATTTACAGCCTCTGCGATCTTCATAACAAAAATGAGAGGTTTTATTGGGTGAAACAAATAAAAAGAAACAAAAGACTAATGCGCGACTATCTTACAACAAAAGAATGTACTCCTGTACTCAATTTTTATATGACAAATTACTATTTGAGAAGCCAAACAGAATCTTTGCACGTTCAATTACTCTGACTAAAAATTTGGGACTTAGAGTTCATCATTTCTGACTACGTAAATTTTATTCTTTCTCAATGTCTTAATCTCACCAAAAATTAAATGATTTCGACCCTCTAATCTGAAATCGATATTCTTTGGAGAAAGTTAGTTTATTTTTTATAAAGCTGAAACAGAGAAAGTAATAAACAAAACTGTGACCAGTTAAATCAATCTTTTATGCTTTAATTAAACTAGTATGGGCCAAAATATGGATTTTTCATATTCATTTACTCCATTCAAGCTCATTTTTTTCTATACTAAATAATCTGTCAAAATAAGACCAATTAACAACTAAAAGTACAATTTTTTTCATTAGCCATTGCTAATGAAAAAGAGAGATAAGACCAGCTCAAACAAGCCTATATACTTCAATTTCAAACTAGTAGGGATCAATTATATGAATCTTTTGGTATTCGTTCCCTCTATTCAAGCTCATTTCTTTCTATTACTCCCTCCGTCACAATTATCTGACACTCTTTCTGTCTTTCCTTCTTAGTCTGTCCCAAAAAAAAATATACCTTTCTATATTTAGAAACAATTTCACTTCAAAATTTTCATTTACCCTTAGTGGAATGATTTATAATCACACATATATATGACTTATTTTAGACATAAGTTTCAGAAGTCTTTTTTTTTCATAACGACCGTGTCAAATCAAACACTATCATGTAAATTGAAACAGAGAGAGTACTAAATAATATGTCAACATTAATACCAGTTAAACTAAGAGAACAATTTTTTCCTTTTAAGAGCTCAATAAGACCAAAAAAAAAAACAGAAATAAAACAAATGAAAACCTGCTTATAGAGGGAAGAACGAGGGTGAAGTTCTTGACGAACGAGTGAGCCCATAGAAATATGAGGAATATCTAGAAGCTTCGAAAGCCATTGGGCGTACACGTGTCTCTGAGCCATAGGATCGCCCATGATCACCCATTGTACTCCTCTTCGTGGAACTGATCCTTCAGATTCCTCCATTACCACTGGACGTACACTTGTCTCTTCATAGTATTCGTAATCATCGTCGTAATCGTAGTCGAGCTGAGCTGCAGCTGATCCGTAAGACTGAAGAGATGACCGAATAATATGTGGCTGCGCCGCCGCTCTCAGACGGCTGAGCAATGCCATCGTCGAGAGAAAGAGGGTTTCTCTAAGGAAGGGGAAATTGGGGTTTTAGAGAGTCAGAGATGGCGGAATGAAATTTTAACCCTGAATGTGGGGTTTATTTACGAGAGTGCCATGAGTTGAATGACACGTGTCAGGTAATAAACGGTGGAGGAGATGAATAGTGGGTCCCGTAATATTATGTGAGGGGGAGGCGGAGGGAAAATTGCAGTCCACACGACTGGGGAGAGAGTATGTGGTTGAATGACACGTGGACTGTCTCCGCTGCCAATGTATTTGTTACTCGACCGCGTCCACTGGCATATATAATGAGTAATTCTATCCATCAAAAATTCAAAATTTAATAAAATAAAACTAAATTATCTAGAAAATTATCTAGATGGCGGATATAAGAATTGTGAAATTCTAGAAAAAATTAAAAAAAAAATATTCAAGTTGAAAAATAGAGTTATTTTTGGACATGAATACAATTTGGAACTGTTTTTAATTTTTTGTGAGTGCTTTGAAGCGAAAATTTTGAAAACAACTTTCTGGAGTTTTTTAATTTCCGAAAAATTCTGAAATTCAATTTCAAGTGAAATTTAAAATTTTCATGGCCAAACACTGATTTCGAAAAAAATTAAAAAAATTCTAAAAAAAAAAAAATTTTATGGCCAAACAGGCCCTTAATTTCTTGAAATTTTTACTCGCTTCAATAATGATTAGGTCACAATCTCCTATCATACATCGACCTTACTATGCAAGTAACTATTCATCGTAATTCTCATGTAAACTTCAGCCATTTTTTTATTACATGTTCCTTCATGTACTAGAAAACCAAAATTTTGATTTAGTTTTGAAAAGAATTAAAGTTTGAAGATTTTAAAAAAATGGTAAATTATATTTGTTAAATTTTGTGTTAATATCTTGAAAAACTTACTTGGGTTTGATATTGTTTTTCTTTAATTTCTAAACAAAAATGGCCCTTATAGCTGTAGTTAAAAGACTAGTAAAGTAATAAGAAGCTTTGAAATTTGTATCATGGTCAAATTTGCTTAGCTTCTTAAAATGAAATATGCCGTCCAATACATAACACGTTCAACGTGACTTAGTATTCAGTGTGTCCAATGGTGTGAAAAATGCCATATAAAATAACACCCATGCTTCATATTCTCAACTAGCAACATGTTTTAAAATAATGCAAAAGGCTTAGATAAATGAATTTATATATACATACATATATCTTTAGTTGATTATTTCCTTCTATTTTTTAGGAAATTCATAATTACTATATATTTGGGAAAACTCGTTGTCCTAATGAATCTATATATACAAAAATGAGGAAGGGCAAAGGCGAGACAATGACTATGGTTCATTAGGGCGTTTCTGATGAGCCCAAATTTTTTTAAGTGACTCGGGACCGGTCTCCCAAATTCATGAAGATGTTGTGGGATATACCCCAAGCTTTCTGCATGGGTTCGGATCACCTAAAATTTTGTCTCACAATCAAAAACGATCTAAGGAATAATATTCACCGCCTCGCCAAGACTGTTCCTCTTTTTTGGCGTTTTAGTACCATAAAATTGGAATTCCGCGTGATTCCTAAATTTTCGTATGCTATAGCCTACGCGCCTGGACCCAGCTCACCTAAAATTTTGTCAGACCATAAAAAACGATCTAAGAAACAATATTTACCGCTTCGCCAAGACCGTTCCTCATTTTTTGGTATTTAGTGCCTAAAGGCCGGAATTCCGTCTCATTTCCAGATTTATGTGTGCTATATAGCCCACGCTTTCTACATGGGCCCGGCCCACCAGACCAGTATTGCCTAAAATTTTGTCGAACCATCAATAACGCCCTAAAGAACAATAGTCATTGTCTCGCCATGATCATTTCTTGTTTTTTGGTATTTTGGGGCAATAAAACTGGACTTGCGCCCGACTCCCAAATTTTCGTGTGTTAGCCTATGCCTTCTGCATGGACCGGGCCCACCGGACCCGGATTGCCTAAAAAATTTTGGACCATCAAAAATGACCTAAGTAATAATAGTTATCGCATCGCCATGACCGTTCCTCATTTTTTTACATTTTAGGGCCATAAAATTAAAATTTTGCCTCATTCCCAGATTTTCATATTTTATAGCCCATGTATTTTACATGGGCCCGGGCCATCAGACCCGGATAACCTAATATTTTGCCGGATCAGCAAAAACGACCTAAGGAATATTAATCGTCGCCTCGTCATGACCGTTCCTCCTCTTTTGGAGTTTTAGGTCCATAATACCAAAATTTCGTTTGATTCTCATATTTTCGTGTGTTATAGCTCATACCTTCTGCATAGGCCTGGGCCACCAGACCTGTATTGCATAAACTTTTGTCGGGCCATCAAAAACGACCTAAGAAACAATAGTCACCGTCTTGCTATGACCGTTCTTCTATTTTGGCATTTTTGCTCCATAAGACTGGAATTCCGCACGATTTTTAAATTTTCGTGTGCTTATAGCTCATCCCTTCTGCATGGGCCCAGGCCACTGGACCCAAATCGCCTAAAAATTTATTGGACCATAAGAAACTACCTAAGGAACAACAGACACAGCCTCGCCATGACCGTTCCTCATTTTTTAGTGTTTTAGGACCATAAAACTGAAATACCACGTGATTCCCAAATTTTTGCATGGGCCCGGGCCACAAGACTCAGATCACTTAAAATTTTGCCCGACCATCAAAATCGACCTAGTGAATAATAGTCACCGCTTCTCCATAATCGTTCCTTATTTTTTGCGTTCTAGGGCCAAAACATTAGAATTCCACATGATTTCAAGATTTTCATGTGCTATAGCCCACGCCTTTTGCATGAGCCTGGGCCATCGCACTTGGATCGCCAAATTTTTGTCGGACCATAAAAAACGACTTAAGGAACAATAGTCATCGCATTTCCATGACCGTTCCTCAATTTTGGAGTTTTTGAGCTATAAAACTGGAATTCTATTAATTTTCCTAAATTTTCGTGTGTTATAGCCCACACTTTATGCATGGGCTCAAGCCATCGAACTCAGACTGCCTAAAATTTTGCCGAATCATCAAAAACAACCTAAGGAAAAATAGTCACTGCATCGCCATGATCGTTCCTCATTTTTTGACATTAGGGCCATAAAACAGAAATTTTGCCTGATTTCTAGATTTTCATGTTACATAGCCCATGTCTTCTACATTGGCCCGAGCCACCAGATCCGGATCACCTAAAATTTTGCCAGATTAGAAAAAATGATAGAAGGAACAATAGTCACTGCCTCGCCATGACCGTTCCTCCTTTCTGGCGTTTTAGGGCCATAAAACTGGAGTTCCGCTTGATTTTCAGATTTTCGTGTGCTATAGCCCACATCTTCTGCATGGGCCCGATCTACCAGACCCGGATCGCCTAAAATTTTGTCAGACCATAAAAACGACCAAAGGAACAATAGATACCACCTTGCTGTTACAACCCATATCCACATGTGTTAGTTCATGCCATATATTAGTTAACATAAATCCAAGAAGGAATTATCGTTGAGATGATAAGATGTCAATCCTATTGGTCTTAAGTGATACAAGAGTGTATAAGGGTGATTAACCAGTATTAGAAGTTAAACGAATCAAGGATGTTGTAACTCGTATTTTCAGGTAATCTAGCGGTGCTTAATACACTCAAGAGGTCATTTATTAAGGTATTTTAATCATATAATATCCGTATCATAAGTCTTGAAGTCAAACGAGTTATGAAACAAAAGTCGACAAAAGTTGTCGCAACTTAGGTTCATAATTTTACTTAAACATTAGGTCAAATATTTCTAATCTTTTCTCATACTTTACAAGGAATTACGGGGTGATCTACCAACCAAATTAAAGATCTATGAGTCTAGTTTCTAACGCATTAAACCGTTCATCGATACGATCTCG